GGAAGCGGGGGTCGCACAAGGAGGAAGTTGGCACTGCCTCGTGTATCGATGAGTTCACGTCCAACTTCGGAAGCGCCACGAACCTGTCTTTAAAACCATGAAGATTCCAGTTGGGCTTTGGGTCCTGGTACCGTTCACTGGTGGTACCGCATTTCCCGAACTTTAATCTGCACCAGATGTATATTGGAAAAAAAAAGCAAAAAAAAAAATAAATAACTTGGGCTATAAAATTTTTTTTTTTTTTTTAGATAGTCTTTTTTGGCTTAGAGTCCGCATCTAGTACCTAGTCCGCACGTTAAACATTATCATACGCGGCATACCTTGACAAAAGTCTGCTTCATTAGCCCATAAAGAGCTTTGAATCATACATAAAACATCATTATTATACCCTGCACTTCAACATGTACGTCACGTCACGTCTCTTCACATTCTCACGATCTAGAAAAACGAACCTTGGCTATCAGGCACCTGTAGATGGTCCGCACCATGTAAAATTGAGATTTTGGACATACATATATATATATATATATATATATATATATATATATATATAGTACGGAAAGTACCGTACTGGGAATGCCTGCTCGGTGATGTACGTTCGCCGAAAGAGAGCGTGCTTGTCGTGCTGCAAGTAAACACAAAAATAAACGAAAAGGTCGAAGGCAGAACCAGAGAGTTGGAAAGATGTGGATCGTCCTGTCTACCTCATCTGTTTCTGTCGCTTTCTCTTTATTTTCGAAGCGGGCGTCTTCCGGAAAACCGTCGTCTAGGCCAGAAGCAACAGCTTTACTTTTAGGAAGAGGTTCGCGTGCCTGTCGGCAGAAATGGAGTGCACTTTGTCAAGTGCAAAGCGTATACCAACGACAAGAGACAGCGGAGAAGAAAATCGAACGAACATCTCGAATGCCAATGTTGACAGTTTGACATCAAACCTGCATCTCAAAGTTCATTGGAAACACTCGTGAAAACCGCTCCCCCCTTGATCGTTTCGATCCGATGAGTGTCGTACCAGCGAGCGTTCGTGGAAAAACTAACGACTACTGCGAAATGCACTCCGAGACCCCATGCAGGTGAGCAGTCGTACCGTACCGGCTGCATTTCACCTCTGCAGTATGAACAGTTTCCCCTCCCCCCCCTTTTTTTTTTAATGAAAAGTGTAAAATTACATCTTTCTGTTTATTCCTGAAACTTCTCCGTTGTCTTTGGGGGATTGTTAAAACAACATTTTTAGGGCACGTCGTAAAAAGTGAGAAAAAAAAAGGAATTCAATGACAGCCAGCAGAGCTTACCTGCAAAAGTCGTTTCCGCGAACAAAAATTTCTGTGCGGGAGGGGGGGGGGGGGGGGGGGGGGGGGGGGGGCGAACAAGTTATTTCCGGCGCGTCAGACAGATTAATAATAAAAAAAAAAAATATGTACTTGGTAAATAAAGTAAGTGCGCAAACGAGTTCATGTGAGCTCAAAATAATTACGAACTCCGAGATTGGGACAACAAAGGGGTAGCAGAAAAAAATAGTGTTTCTGCTGTCCTTTTTTTTCACCTCGGTTTCGTTCTTTGTGATCATGTACACTGTGCGACACCGCTAGAGCGAACGCGACGTCGTCACTTTTCCGAACTCCGAACGGGGATCGGCAAAAGCGCAGCAAGTATCACCGCTCGTGGTAGCGCCCTAAATATGTACCAAAGTTGAGCGCTCTAAGGCCGCGGTAGACCAGGGCTGATACATCATACAAACGACAGCCTGCAGATCTGAAGCGTGTTTGCTAGAATGGCGCACATTGGTCAGGTAAAAAATGTTTCTGGACATATTCGAAGCATTTATGAAGCGAACCTACTTCGAACCTACTTCGAACCTCGCTTCGAGTATCTCCGCAAATAATTCTTTCATAGTGTCTACGACCGAACACACTGTCTTTTGCACGATGTGTGTCCAACGTGACTGGGATTTACTAATTAAAAAAAACGGCGATTTTCTTTTTTTTTTTTTTTTTTTAGTAGACAGTTTTGCGTTTTGAACGCGGCTTTTAGATATTGACAGGTGTCAGTACCGAAAGAAACAGTTTCGTTGCCATATGCGAACTTTGCGTTCTGCGAAGACGCTTCTTGCGCACTTCCGTCTGCGCGGAAGTTGTGGCTCCGTTTTTAAAACGGAGAGTAACTCCAACCATAAAGAATGTTTGCCATTGAATGGCGGACACCTCCTCTCCAGATTGATTGCCGCCTGGCGAGGACGATAACGCGCGGAGAGGTTGCAGCTTGGATTCACTTGCAGCCAATCAATGCCCTCGCCTCCTCCGCGCAGCTCGTATCGCGAACACGGCCCATAAACTCCTCCACTCGAGTAGTTGGAAATACTCTCAAATCTGGGCACACTTGGGCAAAGCAGCTGCGGCAGCGCGGAGTTCGCCTGACATTTCGGCGTGACAGTCCGAAGCTGCACTGGGCTCGGAGCGCCTGACCTTTGGTCCCGTCTGCTTCTGCTCTCGTATGCGCCCGTGTACGGTGCAGCTTGCCACACTCGCGCTCTAACGAGGCCGGGGAAAGGGAGAAGCTACTGATCACTCGTTCGGCCCGTTTGTGTCCACCCGCGCTGGAGAAGGGTCGGAATACGCTTGAACGCAAAGCGGACGAATGGCGCCACGAGAGCGGCGGAGTCACTTTCAGCCGAGGGCACGGACAACCGTGGTAGGGACGCTCCTGTCCTCTTCGCAACACGCTTTTGGCGGGGAACGGAGAGATGGCGCCACAATCGCAACAAGGGCTGGCTGGATGGAGGCTAATGACGCAATAATTCTTGTCTGCCCAATAAACGAATGCGCAACTACCGGATATATCTATGGTAGCGGCTATACCCTTTGTATCGGGAAGTAGCTTATGACGTGGTCTACAAACATTTACTCAAAATTCACCCTATGTTAACCCAGTACGTGATGACACCAGAACATGACGCTCTCCTTCAAACAAACCCTTGCCAGGGCCGTTGTAATGGACATATTCGTGAGCGATCGACGCGAGTTTAGAATTTGCTGTAAGCATTGTGTCTTCTCGATATTGGATCACGGAGACTTTTTCTATCGTCTCGGTGCCATATAGTGATAATAAAAGGCCGTACAGAAGTTTTAAGTGCAGTTTCGCTTTCGTAGCAGACGACAGGACCGATCCGCGGGTCTTCTGTTGAACGTCTGCGTTGAATGACGCTGGATAGAGTATGCTGGTGAACGAGCTACCAAGTTACCAAAACCCTTGTACT